TTGCCTAAATGCCAATTTACACAGGACATGTTTCTAAACATCTGCTTAAGCTTACCCACTTAATCAACATAAAGTTAGCAAAAGAGTTTTGGATCAAGAAGTATCCATCCCTCTATTTGCTTCTTGAAGCAAGGTTTGTGTAAGAAATCTTATCAGAGCACACACAGAACTACAAAACACACATGCTTTACTTCTCTGGAAAGCAGCAGCAGCCACTCCTGATTTCTGGCTAGCCCAGAATCACCTGCCTGCCATCTTACCTGTGAGAGAGGAAGGAAGTTTTTACCAAGTGCTGTATATTTCTCTTCTAAATGAAATCATTGTTCCTTCTATTGCGAATGCAGTGTATTAAGGAATGGTATCCAGAAACTGCAGAAATCAGCATTGAATTTATCTTGATGCAGCACCTTAGCAAAACCTCTAACACTGGCCACACTTTCTTCCTCCAGCAGCTCAGCTAATCCCCATGACTGTTTCCAGTCATATTTTTGCTATCACTTAAGAGAGGGGAAGTTGTAGAGTACTTTCATTGCCACCAGATACTACAGAATCACAGAATGGGTCAGGCTGGAAGGGACCACAGGGGGRCATCTGGTCCAAGCTCCCTACTCAAGCAGGGCCATCCCAGAGCACATGGCACAGGATTGCATCCCAGACAGTTCTTGASTATCTTCAGTGAGCGAGACTCCACACCCTCTCTCTGGGCAGCCTATTCCAGAGTGCAGTCACTACACAGTAAAGAAGTTCTTCCTCACATTCAGCTGGAACTTCCTRTGCATCAGTTTTTGCCCATTGCTTTCTGTCCTATTGCTTAGCACCACTGAACAGAGCCCAGATCCATCCTCTGACACCTCTTTCTGACTACTTACAGACATTGATGAGGACCCCTCTCAATCATCTCTTCTTGATGCTGAGCAAGATCCACTCCCTCAGTCTTTCCTCATAAGAGAGATGTTCCAGTCCCCCAGTTGTCCTCATTCCCCTCTGCTGGACTTGCTTCAGGTGCTCCCTGTCTCTCTGGTCCTGAGGAGCCCAGAACTGGACATGGTACTGCAGACGTGGCATCACCAGGACTGAACAGTGGGGCAGGATTGCCTCCCTTGACCTGCTGGCACTGCTCATCCATCCTACCCCAAGACACCAATGGCATTCTGGGCCACAAGGACACTGCTGGCTCAGGGACAGCTTGTTGCCCACCAGGACACCCAGGCCCTTCTCCACAGAGCTGCCTTCCTTCAGTCTGTGCTGGTACAAGAGGAAGAACCCTGCATTTGYCTTTGCTGAATTTCAGACAGTTCTCTGCCCATCTCTCCACCCCATCGAGGTCCTTCTGAAGGGCTGCACTGCACTCTGGGGTATCAGCCTTAATATTATTTCTCACATGTGTGATTATTAATTTATGATTGGTAACACACACAATGGTACAGGAGACAGAAGTAGTCCCTTCATGGTATTTCAGAGTAAGAAGGGCTCCAGATCATCTCCTTCCCTTCCTTCATGACATCYTTTAATTCATCCACAGGAAAAAGATGATTTCCATCCAGTAGTGAAAATCAAATGTCAAACTCTTCAGTGTATTTTCAGACCATCCAATAGCCTGACCCTTCAAAGACTTAACTTTTATCTTTTTGGGCTGCTAGTATCCACTTGACTCCAATCAAAGTAGAAGAGGAGCATATGCATGAGTTTTAGCAAGGCTTGGAAATGTGGGATTAAGAGCCACTGCTTTTGTTTTGGAAAATACACAAACCACAATGCAAAGCACACAAGGAAAAAAAGCACACATCTTTTAGCAATCCCCCCACCCCAGTTCTCCACCCACCTCACACCACAACAGAAATGCTCTTCCATAGGCAGAACTCTGACAGTTGGTGGGAAAATTCAGGGAAACTGTTCTATCAGCTTTCTGCAGGAGTCATTTTGGGATGCTTGAAATGCCAGGCTGAATTTAAGGATTTGCTTGGATGTGCATATATGCATCTTATTCATCTYTACAAAAGGGAACTCCACATATTTAGTACAGAATCTCACCAAATACTCTAACTCAAAGCTACTGGATTTTCATGTATTTATTCTGTATTAAGCACCGGGCTACTTTTTCAAACCAGGATGACATCTCATACATTCATTTTTCAAAATCAGTACCTTTGAAAGACTCATTTAACTAACCAAGCATGTCCTGTCTCAGGCCATTTATTTTTCTTGTGCTGTCATAAGCATTTCCCATCTAGGTCTGTGTTACTTGGGTGGTCAGCATTTTGGAAAAGGGAAGTCTAACACACTTTTTTTTTTTTTTTTTTTTTTTTTTTTTTTTTTTTTTTTAAATAAGAAGGTTTGTGTCCCTACAGTTAGAGGCTAAATAACTCTACTGCAGAGTAGAAGGAAATGCCCTCTCCCAAGATTCATTTTGGTAATGAGCATGTAATGGGGTCAATCTCAGTTCCCAGCGCCTCAAGGGGTATGTGTGTGCTCTCTGCTATCAGTAAGTGAAGACTACAAAGACTCATAGTCCGAGCACATGGCTCCTGTGAGGCACACAAGGGTGTGACACAGCTGCACACTGGCAACTGCTCATGCTCACATTCCTCTCCAACAGAAAAAAAAAACTTCCAGGTCACTTATGAAGTGAAAGAAAAAAGAGCACTGAAGATAAATCCCATTAGCATTTTTCAGCAGGTTTTGTGTYGCTTCTTTTTTTTAAATAAATAAGATGGAGTCCTTACCTAATTTCCAGATTAAGAAGTACTATTAAATGCAGTTACAGACCCAATTATAACCCTTCAAACACCACTGAAATGCACTACAATATTATTTTATTTAGTTTACAGAAGAGTCTATCAGTACAGGTTGCAGAAAGAAAATGTTTAGTGCTATTTACAATTTGTTTTAAAACTCTGCTCTATACAAATTGAATTCTGATCAGTCTGAACAATATTTTTGTAAATCTACTGCATATAAAGCATTTCATCAAAGCAGTAACAATGAATAAAATAACCTGTTTACATTTGAATGATGCCAATCATTCGAAAAACGATTACACAGAACATCTGTAAGAGTTGTGGACACTTAAGTACAGAACACAATGTCAACCTGTGACTCAGTTTTTTAAAGGCTAAAGCTATTTATATGGAATATTGTTCTATTATACTACACGCCAATCTATATTTAACTTCTATAGTTATGTATTTTATAAGATTTTTATTAAATATATTCTACACATATTTGTAATTTCACCCAGGAAGAATTCCTCCCCAGTGAAAAAATATAAAATCTTTTATATTTTTTAATTTGTATTTATTTTTATTTTTTACAGGTTTAGATGAAAACTAGCTCATGCTTTAGTGCTGTGCAAATTTCTTYAGCATATCAACATTTAAATTATTGATATGAAATAAAAGAATGGCATCCTTTTCAATTATATATGCCTTCAAAAATCACCTTCTGATTTTAATACCATTGCAAGCACTAATACCAAATGCAGATTACGTAAAGAAACAAAACTAGTACTATGGCAGAAGTTTTTCTTTTTGCTTTTTAAATTTTAATAATTATTTTGAAATCTCTAATGAGTAAGCATGACACTGGAGTCTAAGGTACGGATGAGAAAAATGACTGAAAACCACCAATTGCCAGTATTCAAATACATAAAATTGATTAGTAAATGATGTTTTCTAACATTTATGCACAATAATAAAAGCCTATGAACTACAGGAAACTACCCCTCCCACATTAAGGCTAGGAAATGCACTCTCTGCACTTTTTTGTGCTCTCTGAATAAGCACTCAACTTACACACGAGATCAGAGTGCACACATTAACAAAAAAATCAGTTTCATCAGCCCTCTAGAGAGTGCTTTTAAATTACAGGCACATAGTATTTTTTCTCTGTTGCAGTGAAAATATATATAGTTAGACTTGGTTTAGTTAGTATTCTGTGCCAGTTTGGCCACCAAGGTTGACTCAGGTAGAATTGACTTAACAGTTTTTCCTTTGATTTGGCCATGAGAATTGTTTTAATTATTAATATACTATTTTCCAGTGTTGCATTATACATTGTGGGTTATTACTAGATGTCTCAAATATTGTTAGAGATTGTTGATGAGAAGTATACTGTCAACCATATTTAGTGCAAATTGCATCTAGAAAGCTTGACTGGTTAATGCAGATTTTTGTGGTAGCGAAAAGATTCCTGCTATGGAAAAGAACACAAACCTTTCTGGAGACTGAATTCTTTCAAAAAGTGATGTACTGTAAGATTATTCAACAAACAAAAAGGAGGAATTAAAAAATATAAACAATTAAAGTGTTCATTTCACTTTGGAAAAAAACCCCGAAACTAATGAAGACAGTGTTCGTGTAATTATTTCAGTTCCATGGATTTACAGACAGGCTCTTCCTACAGGTGTTTGAAGCAAGGTAGGGCCTCTCTTCTATTCCAGCAGCATGAAAGACAAAGACTATATTACATCACACTTAGCAGATAAAGCTAACAGCGTTTACAGGATTACACAGCAATTGCTTTCTCCAGTTTTTTCACGGTTCCTTTGACCTGCAGAAAAGAAGAAAGTTTTACTTACATGCCATTTCTAAAGCAATTAGGCTGTTCTTTGTRAGAGTATGCTTAATACATACATGTTCTTTATTATTTTCAGTAAAAAACCTATTTATTGTTATACAGATGCATACATAACTGAAAAATAAATCAGGACTATTTTTTCACAGYAAAACCAAGAGGTTCTAATGTCTGAGTAAGTTTCTGCACTATACAAAAATGCTAAACTAGAAAGTTAATCACTTAGTTTTCTACAGACATGTACAGAATCATTTCATTACTTTCTTCACAAAAGAGCACAAGGACTTGACTTATGAAATACTCAAAAAAGCCAGACCTGACCACTTTGCCATGTACTTGAGTAACAAATTCTTCTAGTGCACAGCCTACCTTGAGAGTTTGGTTCTGGCAGTGTCTCTCTAGCCACCAAATGCATCACTGTTGTTTTGCCAAAAGGAAGTTTTAATGCTGCAAAAGGAGAAAGGGAGAATTATTAACACATTGCAACAGCCTTTTTTTCTCCAAAATACCCAGTTGTTACTAACTATAATTGGATTAGCACCTGCTCAAAAGTTTGTACTTYGAATTGCTTGCTGGTTGAAGTTCAGTAAATCAGGGACTTGGGGTATGACAATTATCATTTGCAACACTGCATTCTTAGAGACATGATACTCCTGTTAGGAAATGTAGCCTTCCTCTTATGAGTAAAAGCAGAAATGGGCATTCATGCCAAGACTCGGGTGTTGAGCATTCTTTAATGATAATAATGTAAAAAAGTTAGTAATTCAGCCACCAAATTGTTATTTCAGATCAAAACACTGTGTCTCTACTGTAAAACGTATTTTCCTAAATCTGTGACATGGATTTTTCAAAATACAAAATGCCTGCATCTTACATTTTAATATTAATCTGTAACATCAGCTGTATGTGAAAAATACAAAATTCAAAGCTTTTAAAATCAGATACAGTAGTTTTCACAATGCTGCCTTTGTGAGCTTTAGCCACACTAAATTTTAAAAAATGGTGCTTTCCACAACTTATTCTACTTGTTTCTGAAACTAAAATGATAATTTTCACATTCCAATATAAGTGTACAAATACATTGCATACTTAGAGTATCTTCCTTGATAGTTTTGCTGAGATAGAAGGCAAAGATGCTCTAAGTTTTGTCCTTCTCACCTTACAGCAGAAAAAAAGTCAGTGATAAATCTAACAAGAATTTAATCCTTAATACACAAGTAATTCTGATTTGAGGAGAATTTGTCCTATCAAAATCAAAATACAGCATTTATTTTCACATATAGTGAAATGGCATTTTAAGATAATAAATCAATAATGAATGGCCAATAAACCTGAAGGCAACTGAGGAGGAAAATGCCTGTTTTAACCACTGTGGCATAGATTAGATTCACTAATAAAAAAAATAAACCTAGAATTTAGTAACTAGGTATATTTAATACAAGCCTCACTACAACACTGCTACTAAATCATGTTCGTTGCCTACACATTTATTTGAAAAAAATGTAAATTATTTTTAAAACACAGGTGGTAAGCATACAAAGTGATACAGAACTCCACAAGATTACTTGAAGTAGCTGTACTTTGGGAAAAGCCACCTTTATGGAAAGGGAAATCTGAAAGTTGCTTTGTTTACTTGAAGCACTCCCTGTGCCTGCAAGTAGAAATTACTGATAGCCTGAAGTCTGACAAAGATGATGAATTTTGAGTACTTGATATCATGATACAAGTGAAAACTCTAACAGACTGTTAATAAATTTGCTTTTTGCAAATTCCATGGAAAAGGACTGTCTTTATAACATAAACACTTTTTATAAAATAATCACATTAGGAACATCTTTCACAAYATCAACACATTTCAGGAAACTTGATTAGTGAGTTGTAGAGATGAACTATTTACAGTAATCAAGTAGAACTGTGCTAATATTTATATTAACTAATCTCAGCTAGTAGTTTGCATAGTTYACACAAGTTCTTGCTAGAAATTTCCAGCTTCTTGCTTGGAGCACCATGACAGCATGTGAGCAGCCTAATCTATGCTCAATAATCCTTTCCCGCTCTTCTCTTTGTGCTTTCASCCCCTTCTCTCACTTAAACAAAAATTGTATTTAATTCCTTTCCCAATTGATCAATTCCATTGTTGTTCTTTTGTTGTCAGAATTTACTTCTCACACCTTTTGGAATGTGGATGGCACGTGGTGGGTTGACTTCCYCAATAAACAAATAAGCAAATGCTGCTGGTTACCATCATCTACCAAGAAATGGAGAWCTGTCAATTATGTATTACTTCCCTAATTAATATTATTTGAAATGCAAACGGCAGAACAAATATTTAGCCAAATGATTAAATTTCCTGTTGGAAGCTGAACAACAAAGATTCTGCCTTGCTAGCCAACTCCCCAGCCCTCTGTAAAGGCAGGACACAAGAAAACAGTGGGGCTCAAGCACTGCAGGCAAGGGCGGTGCAGCTTTACGGAGGGGTCTGTCGTACACTGCTTCCAATGCCATTAGCTCTGCTGTTCTTGTAGTGACAAGTCCATTCAGAGAATGTATCAAAAAGGATGGTTTCTGGAAAATAAAATTTTTCACTCAARAGTACTTTTTCCCTATCAATTTGTCATTTTTGAGGCATCTTAGTTTACTGGAGTCTCAAATTCAGAAGCCACTACACAGACATGTAAGGTAAAAGTGAACAAAAATGGATTCCAGTTTAAAAAGAAAACATGGAACTGTTTCCTTGGAAACTTTTGTTTCACTGGATGATAAAGTGATTTTCAGTAAGTCCAAATCCCAGTCAATATTTCCTAATCATCTAAATATTAAGTGCTATAACTCAGTCAAACAGAACTGCAGCTAGAAAATCTTAATGGAAGTGTATTATAATAATATAAGAAACCAAATATTGTGTTTAGCAAGACATCTCCTCCCCCTCCACCTCCCTTTTAAAGGTAACTAGTTCACTTAAGGTTACCTCTAATGAACACCACAAACTGAACTGAGAGTTTTTAGATTGTTTCATGAATTCCTGTTCTCCTTTCAGCTGTGTAATCTTACTCTTGATAACTTCATTAGTACTGAAATTAAGCCAGTGTTTTAGGGATTCTTTTTCTTAAAACAATACAGCAACAAAAATATTTTKGAAAAACACTAATATACATGAAGACCCTTGGGGTAAAAAACATGATGATTAAATAGCAACGCATGAATGATTAAAAATGAACTAAAATGCCCTGAACCCAACTAAGTTTTCAAAATTCATAGACCTAAGTTAATGCAAGAGTCAGGAGCATGCAGCTATTTTTTTCAGCTTAACTCATTAAATAAGACATTAAATATATTAAAAAAAAATCAACGTTTTTTCAGATTTAAACAAATGTCACTAAAGGAAAAAATGCTGGTGGTAAAGAGCAACACTCAGATGAATGGCGAAGTAAATCCCATTTAGCTATCCTTGCCTGGAAATGTAGGGTAAGACTAGCATCTTTAATTGCAGAGATGATCCAAGACTTAACATTTGTCTTTCAACTCTACTCCAACTGCTACTAGCTGCACTCATTGTCACCTGGTAAAAATACAAATTAAAGAGTGAATAAAAATTTCAGAGTTCATCCAGCTGAGCTGACAATGATCTTGTTTGTATATATAGGCATAAAAAATTTATATATGTGGAGAGTAAATCTATTCTAWCAGCACATCACAAGGCAACACTGGGAATGGTAGAGAGTGAATCAGTAGCTATATCATCCCAGTCGATTCTTCATGAAACATCACCATGAGCAGTCCAGAAATATGATTTTCAAATTCCTCTTAACTTCAAAAATATTTCATTGGTGATTTTGTATTACATTCTCCTTTCTGTACTGCATTCAGGTACCAAGCCATAAATAATTTGAACATATGAAGTAGAAGCATTAATTTATTTTTAAACTGGCACAGAATGGAGAGTCTCATATTTTTCAGTCATTGATACAGTTGACATTCCCATTGRCAAATGCTACCTACAAAAGCAAAGGTGACTTAACAAATGTATGTCACACCTCTATCAAGGGTTCCCACCAAAACATGTAATTGTGGGGAAACGGTTGCCACGAGGGGGCACAGTTGAATTGCATTTCCTTAGCACACGAAGTGAAGCCATTTACTGTTGTTTTCGCATAACTATGCAATTGTATCCCTGGGAGAGCACTGGACAGCAAGAATGCTTCCCCTCATTCTCATTCATAGGGTGTCTTCCTGCATTGCACCAAGATTTAAAGTATTGTTTGACCAATTATCATAAAGTTTATCAAGCATTTTAAAATACTTCAGATATTTATTAAGTAGCTTGTCCTGCAAATGCAGTGTTAGGGAGCTGGAACAAAATATTCCATTTAGAAAGACAACAAATAAAAGCAGCATGACAGTTTCTTTGTGTGAGAGGAGACTTAGCAGTTGGTATCTCCCAAAGTTTAACAAGTAGTGGTAACAAGAAGGAAAAAATGCAGTAAGGTACAATGTCATTCCATGCAGAAGAAAAACAGTATAAAGTAGGCCACACTGTGATCTTGAACAGTAAAGCAGCACTGTAAATAAATATCCCCTTTGCCTAACTGTAACATGTATAATGAAAATTATTTTCATACCTCCTAATGTCACATTGCCATGAAGAAACCTCCCTTGATAAATAAGCCGCAAGATATTTGGACTGCTGACTTGCTCTTCTTCCCAATCTGAAGAGAGAGAAAATTACCACTGTTACATTGTAATAAAAAGATCTTTTCCTATTTCTCTCACCTTTACCCAGGAAGAAAATTGGGAACGGGACTCTTTTGTATAAAACACTAAAGAGGAAGATAATTCAAGCACTCCTGAAGTCTATTCTTGAATTTATTATTTGACACTGGGCATTGAAACACATAATTTTATGGCTGCAAGTATAAATATTACTGATGTCACAGACTGCAGTATATATTTAGCACATATAAAATACTAAAGGAAATATTTCATATGCAAATTGCTTCCTGATTCTTGATATCCAGGCCATTCTGAAGGTTCCCAAGCGATAATCCTCCTTGCCACCTAATTGACTAACTGGTGCTGTTCTCCAGCAATGGGAAGCTGCCACACACAGAGCGAGCACGCATATGATGGGTCACTTGAAACAGGACTCTGAGATCACAGCACCGAAAAAATGCTCCAGAGGCAGCTCAGTGCYGTTCAATGATGGCCAGATCCAACCAGTTCCATGTCTGGAGGGGACAGTGACCTGAGCAGCCCTGACTGCCACCACAGAGCTGGAACAGAGGCTCTCTAAGAGCAGACACGCACCAATACATTTTTAGGAGCCCCTCAAAGGCCAAACTGTGGATGTTTTTATGTGGCAAACAGTGATTTGACAAAAATCAAGCATGCATTTTCCTATAATGCTTAAGCCCTCATAAATAAATTATAAGCTTAAAGGGTCTTTTCCTGCTCTTTCTCCATTCCCTGTCACAATGCGAAGAACAAATAAATATGCAYTTTGCTTTCAGAAAAAGTATCATAAAGCCTTAAAATGTTGACTTTAAATGGTCTCTCTGGGAATACAGTGTCTTCTGTTTCTTAATGACCAGATATCTGGCAACAGTTGTTCACAATGTTCTCTTTCTGTTTTTGTTGTGTTTATATAGCAGAATGAATATTCAACAAGGGATCAGGATAAGTCACTGAAACCAACCTGTTCACTGGGAACATACAAGTAACATACAGGCAGTAGCAACTGGCACCACAAAAGAAGAACTGTAAAGGATAGAAGGGGAAGCACTTAAAACAAAAGCCATGGCTGCAGAGTGTACAGAGAGGCATCTGGTGCAAAAAGCAAGCACCGATGACTAAATGAGCCAAGGACTCACTSCATCTACCTTTTTATTTTTTTTAAGTTCAGATAATTGATGTACAAGAAAGAAGTTAATATTATTTAGAAGAAAATGCGGAAGGGAAAAAGAGAACAGGTAACCTAACTAGATGATATGGATACATTTGGCATTTTCTACTGTAACTCAAGACACCCTTAATTAACAACTGTATTGCCAAAAGAGGGAGGGAGAAGTTTGTCTTAATCCTGCCAGCATGTGACTATGTGACTGAGGTTATTTCATCTTTTTTTTCCCCACAAGATCATGACAAGTCAAAATGGTGGTAAAAACAAACACATCATATCATCTCTGTTTCAAGGAAACTATAGCCCTCATCAAAAATTTCTCATTCCGGTGCAAAGAGGAGCACTCTCAGTTTGAAAACAGCTAGCAGGCTAATGTTTGTGAAAATCTATATTCTGAAGCGAGACTTTTTTTTTCTTATAATTGAGACTATTCTTTGCAAAGGCAATAAAATATTCATCAATATTCAGAGCATTCCCTCAGGACAGCAGGTATTTGAACGGAGGTTTCCATGTCTGGTTCTTTTTTTTAAAAAGAAGAGACTTTAAAGTCTCGGTTTCTTCCCAACTCTAAACTCAGAATCTGTAACTTTCAAGCTCTTCACAGGACTGGGAACATGACATCACATGTTCAGGCATATACTCAAGTAAGGAAAAAAAATCCAGTCCTGCCTTTACTAATTCAGATAAAAGTACACAAAGAACCTTTGGTTATGACAACTATGTTRTAGGCACATATTAAAACAAGTATAGTACAGATGTTACATTAACCTATTTTTTAGTGTTAAAGTGTTTTACATCTGTATCTAACCCTCCAGAGGACTTAAAAACCTCCTCCCTCATTACACATTTTACTAAATACATAATATCGCATCCCAGCACATCAAACAGCAAACTTTTTTTTCTGACCTCAAAGACCAGTTTAAGGCCTAAAATACTGRTTATTAACTTAAACTTTTTGGCATAAATGATCATCCACCATATGTYTTTGACAAAGGCACCATAGAAACAGATAGTGAAATGTTTTAGTTTGCCTAAATAGTAGTCTTTTTAACATCAAAACAGTAACCCAAATGAAGTCCTGTACCAAAAGAAGCATTTTCTTTCATCATATGTAATGCTGTGTCTGTGTTTTGGCTACATTCCCATTAAACCATAGTCAGGAGAACAGAAGCACTTTGTTTTGGGGAACCATTCACATATGTGAATACACATCTTAAGTTTTCAAATCCATTTTCCAAAGCCAGTATTCTTGCATGACATCAACTATATTCACATAAACAACATCCAGTCTTTTAATGTCACTTAAAATGTGCTTTTATAGCTGTTTTTTCCTGGAATAGTATCAGTATTACAGATCCTTTCCAAGATAAGGCAGTAAGCGAAAAGTACTTTAGGCTCAATTTCACTAATGCATTCTTGTGACTTCCCATGTTTTATTTTAGCAGTCCTCACATAAGAGGTTTTGTATCTCCAGCACCTCCTCACACTTACTAGATCCTCTAACGTGATTGATCAAGAAAAGTGCCTAAAGGTAGAGGGAAAGAAGTTCTTAAATTTGGGGAAGCAAATTTTAGCAACAGTCCTGACATCTAAAAATCTGGCCAATGGAAGGAACTGTGAAAAAGAAGACAAAACAACTGTATTTCTGTACAAATCTATGTCCAGATAGTGAATAAACATACTTAATTTGAATGCTGAGCACAGAGATCCATTTATTGACACTTTAGTCTGAAAACACAGGGAAGCTCCTTGCTCACCAGTTAAAAAGCCAAAGTCACACAGCTACTCACCCATTGGCCAGTTGTCATACACATGTTTTGCAATATCTGCAGCAGAGTCATTTGGTGAAAATAGGAACTCTTTTGTTTTCCCGCTTACCAAGATGAGGCGCAAATTTATCTGGTAAAAAAAAAAAAAATCAGTATAAGGAAAGTTTACAGAAAATACTTAAATTATTTCTTTTTTTGCAGTTACTAAAATACTGTCATTGGTTTTGGAAGACAGATCCAAATTATTTGAGGAAACAGTTCAACATGTTAACATATGTTAAAAAGAGGGTCAAAGAGGTCAATAAAATGTTGTTCACATACCCATAAAACTAGGAAGATTAAATTCTAACAGCTGGCATTCCTGATTATAAACACCAGAAAATTCTGATAATTAGTGATTGAATCAACTGTGCCAGTAAAAAAAAAGCTTTCAATAGGATGAAAACATATTCCAGCAAGGACACATTGGCAACATAGCACTTGAATGAAGAGGAAAAATACAAGCCTGAAAACGTAACTTAAACAGAAAGCATTAAAATACCAAAATCTGCACCTCAATAGCCTGTGAGCCTAAACAAAAGCCCTAGAATGCTCTCTCCCCATCTCAGCCAGAACACCTCCTACAAAACACCAGGGAGTCAAACAGCATCCTTCATTGGTCCCAGCTGCCAAAGTTTGAATCCCTCTGCCAGTTTTCTGAATCCAAAAATTTGCTTCACCACTGTCTTTCACTACAAGCAAAGTGGTTGAGGTCCACATGCAACACAGTAATAACATTACACCACAATTTTTCTTTCATTAATTTCCTCCTTATAACTAACGGCACCTTCAGCCATAATTTTCCTCTCTTCTATTTGCAAATTACTGAATATAATTTCTTTTCCATATAGCATGAAAATAACATATATAAAGAGCTCGCTATGACATTATTTACAATGCAAAAGAGATTAAATTTTGGCTCCTCAAGCAACTGTAAGCAAGGTCACAAAATACATTCGGGTAGCTGGCACTTAGTAATGCCCATGGCAAGTATAGTCTAGCTGCTGCTCTACTTCGACCTACAAGCCCACATTTCATCAACTTTCAGTGAGACTATAGCAGACTAACTGCTTGGACGCTTTTTTCCAAGTCACACTCTCAAACCGCAGTTATCACTTTAAGGTAAGATGCAACAAAGTTTTTGTTGGAATTCAGTAAACTGTTTTCTACATCAAATATCCAAGGAAAAATTTACAGCAATGCCAAAGTTTCTTAGCCTTCTTGAAAAAAATCTCAGCGCATCATATCCACTGAACATGACAGCCCTTCCTCAGCTACCTACCTTCTTATTTCAGAAGCTCTTTAGACAGATAGTCTATTCCCTCTTGAATGCTTTGGCTTGGATGCATCCTAGCTATCTTTAAGCACCTAATGGAGGTATCCACATTACAACCTCTATCATCCAGCACACTTCAAGGTCAACAAAGAAAATGACCCCCTCCTAAAAAGTAATTCAATCTCTATTTCAAAGTGTAGCACATATAAAAAGCGTGAGCATAAAAGGCTAGGTTCTCCTCCCTGTCCTCCTACTAACACACTTCGGAAAATACAAGTTCTCCCATTAGCCCAGGAAAGCAGCCAAAGTGGTAGCTGTCTCTGAGAAAGCACCGCAGCCACTCTAAGAGTATCACCGCATGCCACAAAACTGCAAGAAAAGGAAAGAAACTGGGAATGCTGTCTTCATAAAATTCAGAATACATTTGGCTATACATATTAAAGTTTCATTTTCTTTGAAATTTCCACAGTGATTAAGGAATTATTTTTAAATCTCACCAATATTTAACAGAAGAAGCAGATYGAGTTATACTGTTCTGTTTACTCCAAAAATCTGACTACTATAATGAATTACAGCTTCAAAAAGTTGGACTATGTTCAGTGTTGTTTTGCTTATATGCTGTTTCAGTTTCAGTACTTCCCCCCCACCTTTGTTGTGTCCACCTGTGTATGTATAGACAGCACTAAACAACGCTAACATATATGGTTTCTTTAGCTGGACCACCCCAGATAAGCTTTCCCTACTGAGACATCTGTTCCCCAATTCATCCTAGCAATCTGTCTCTGCACAATTTCTTCTATTTTCTCCTCAGAGATGACTGTTTCCGAAGCATACTAAATGATGTCTCACCAGATGCTTGTATAACACCACCAGTAATTTCCTCTGTCTACTGGAAACATCTTCTGTGACGGTGTCCCAAGAGCACATATACCTCCTTCATAACTGCACCASGCTGTTTGCTCAATTACTTTGTACCCTTTTCTGCTTTGATCCTTTCAATTATTCAGCCTCCAAGCTTTTATCTATCACCCTAAAGCACACAGCTCCAAATTTCATCCCACTGCTGTTACTCCACCCCTCAGAGCGAAAGGAAAGTAGGTGTAAAGAAGTATTCTGCATGACAAAGATGTTTCAGATTTCCCCCATATCTGGGCACCAGACCTAAGAAATCCCTCCCAAAGGTCTTCTTTCTCTCTACATTACAAGCACTTTTCAAACTTCACATCATTAACAAATTCTAGCAACAAGATGTCTTTACACTTACCTTTGTCATTAAATGAATCAGGAAATATCAAAACTGATCTAACAGCTGTTTCATAATGAATATAATAATGAGCTCTCTCTGAGCACTCTCCCCTGCTCTCCTTTATATCAGGATCACAGACACACAGTTTCTCTAATACTTTTAAATTTCTCCTATTTAACCAACAGTTTGCAAAACAGCACCACATCAGTTACTAAGTACATACTTAGATGACACTATAAAAATGCACATGTAGAAAGTTCTTTTCATCAGCCTGCCATGCTCTGGCTTTTGGAGTGGGGTGTACTGCATTCAATTTTACTTGCTCTATATCTCATTATCTTTAATTATTGTTTGATCATTAACGCACCTCATTACAACACCAACGTACTGCCAAAGTTTTAGGAAGTTCAGAYTGCATCACAAACAGTTACTTTTACTTGGAATGGGCTGCCTGTTCAAGAGAATAAACCAACCAACTCCAAATTTTCAGCACCAGTGCCTATTGTAGGCACTAGAAATGAGGTGCCTCTTCAGCAGCAGCTCTTCTGCCTCTCCCTCCAATTCCAGATATCCATTTCCTATACTCCAACTGGCTCACGGGACACCTCCCTTAGCTTGCTCCCTCTGGTTAAGCAGTTCCCAAACTCTGAAATTATACAGGTTATCTAAGGATTTATTTTGCTTTATCTGTTTGTAGTTTAGCTGTGGTGAAGGTTATCTGTTTTGAAAACCATCGCACTTTCCTAGGCAGTAGACATAACACCAAACCCCCTGCTCCCTAGAACTACCCAATTCAGAACCTACAAGGAGATGACTAAAAAAAACCCCAAAAGATTAGTCCTGCTCWGCATTTAAAAGTATGATTATGGCACAGTATTAACGTGGAAGTGAAATTATTATTCTGCTACCATGACATAATGGAGATGCATTTCTTTTTATTCTTGCTACTGAGTCTTGAGATTACCAGGCACACTAATGTGAATACAGAAAAGAGATGAGTATCACTGAAAAAAATAACCAAAACTAACTTGGCTTCCTGGAAAATTTGATTAAGTCACACGTCTGCAGTTAATATGCACCATAAAATCAATACAAGCAACAGAAGGGGGAAAAAAAGAAGTGAATAACTTTAGATCCCTCTTTCCCCCTACCTCCTGAAGATGGGTAAGGGTCTTGTTGCTGAAAAGTATTTCTTATAGACTTACTATGAAATACAAAAGGCGCACAGAGATAAGAGAATAATTTTACAGGGTATATTACGGAGTATSTGTAAAACACAGGATAAATATTTTCATTTTTAAAAAATCACCAAATATCAGTAAAGCCCAAAATAAATTTTAAGTCAGTCAAGCACATGTTACATCAAGTGCAAAGAAACAGTTGTTCTAATAAAAGGTTCAAGTATTCTCTTATTTATAGAACAGCATGCCACTGACACATTTAGTTTGCATGTTTGTCTCTCTCTAATATATATATAAATATATAAGTATTTAAGTTTCTTAACCTTGGCTTGAAGGAATCTTAGTCTTGAGTTGCATATTSCTCTACCCTAAAGGGTTTGAAGTGAAGAATCACAAAACTTGCCTTTAAATTTAAAGTCTAATCTCATAGCCTCAAGAGTACTGGGAAATTTAACCACTTGCAACTGCTGCATTACTTCATCTTGCAAACAAACTAGGAGAACTGAAAAAAATATTTCTGGYGAAATTCCAAAAAGCTCAGAACTGAAAGAAGAAAGAGAAAAAAATATTTGTATACATATTTACTCAAAGTGCAGAAAAAATCTTGGTTAGGTGGAGAAATTTTRACACAAAAGCATCAAATTTTAATTTTTCAAGTTAAGAAAGGATTCTTAGTAGTCTTAGCTATCCTGTATGCTATTTCCTACACTGAAAGACACCAAGTAGCCTGTATCTGTATCCCTTATATGCTTAAAGCCCCTCCACCTATTCTTGTCAAGTGTCTCGGTCTCAAGAGACTGGCAATTCTCATGGCCCTGACAAGTYTGCTCCTCAACTGGGGATGTTACAATTGTCCTGAATATGGTTTTTATTTTTTTAGGGTACCAAAGGGAGTTCCAGCCTTTTGCTACAAGAAAGTGGTAAGGATCATATCCTTACACTTCTGCATTGTAGTTCTAACTGCTACGTTACTGGTGAAAGCAGTCAAGGGCAGCCAGAGTACCAGAGGAAGGATTAAATACAATTTGCCSACTACATCCCCTCTGCCGAGTTATGTAATGGCACTTTCCGTTTTTGATATCAAGCATGCAAACCTTACCCTCTACTACTGTCCCCATCTCATAACCACAGCTCCAGTAACTACCCAGTCAGTTGCACTGCATACACAATAACATTTTTCAATGTAGATTATATCCTGCAAACAACAACAATGAAAAACCCGAACCAGCAAAAAGAAAACCCCTGATAAAATAAAATCATATTTATGAAAAGATTGCAGTAACAATTGTGACCACAACTTTTGGAAGAGAAATTTGGGTCACGTATATGCTGATGCAGAATAAGTTGTGTTTTCTTTCTTCTAGCATCTATAAAATTTGTTAATTTTT